TATCAATTGCTTGAGTTTTGATAGAGTTGAAACCTTTTAAAGTTTATCACTTTTACTAATAAAAGTAAGAATTTGGCCGGCTAAATCTAATCACATGACACATAATTAAGGATTATAATTGGTTAGATCATGTAAACAACTTATTAATGCCGTGATTGTCTAAAAGGAAATTATATTTAAAAAAGACAAGAGAATCAAAGAAAGAAAAAGATCAATGGCAGGAAGTTAGTAATAATAGGTTTGACAATAGTAAGATCAATGAGTTTGAAGGTATTATAAGGCAACTATAGGCAATTCCAGAAGAAACTGCTTAGCGGCCACTTATATACCTTGGAAATTTTGTAAGAACGAAGAGACGACGGAAGCAAATGCAGCGAGAGGCTGCAGCTAAAATGCACAAGATAGAGTCCTTTTGGTCACCAGTAAGTTACTTTTCAAACTATATATAGTTCATAATATTTATTTAACTTGAAGTTTATTTTTTTGAATACAAAGGTAATTGCAAGTATAACAAATATCAACATCACTAATTTGAAGAATAATCATGACATGGGAACTGAGGTTGCCAGAGATTACAATATTATGTCTCCTGGAAACTTAGTTAGTATCATTACATGACTAGTTAATGAAGTCGAGAGTAGTAAATTTAAAAAAGTGAAAAAGGTTTGTCTTTATACAATATTAGCTTACCTTTGTCTTATGAAATGTGTCAAAAAAAAAATTAAGGCAAGTATTATCATAGCAGAAGCAACTGGAAAGGGTGTTCATCATGCCCATTTTATACAAACATGGGCAAAAAATTACATCCAAAATAGTATCTTTTCGATCCTGCGACAAGGAAATCATTTAAAAGTATGGAGTTTTTTATAGAATAATGATATTTTGCTACAGATCAAGTTTTTTCTTTGATTGAATAAATCGAATATTACTAAAAATGATCTGACGAAACATGTAAATGAGAAAATACTTTCAAGTCTTGGTTTTGATCCATTACCAATGATATGTGTAAGAACAGTACGCAGATGGCTAGTAGAGTTTGGATTTGAGTATTCAGATATTAAGAAAGAAATGTATATAGATGAACATAAACATCCTGATGTAGTGGCTTATTATACGAAATTTTTAGAGAGGATGGTAGACTATGAAGAACGAATAATAGTTTTCTCTGGTGAAGATATGAAAAAAGAAACCCAACCAGCTGCTTGTCAAATTGTGATTTTGGTAACACATGATGAATGTATTTTTTTAGCATATGATGGAAGACGTCAATTATGGATGCCAAAGGAGGAACAGTTACTTTATAAGAAAAGCCAGGGACGATCAATTCATGTAAGTGATTTTCTTACTGATATTAATGGACGTTTAGCATTATGTAAGGAAGACAAGATACATATATTTTTGCTTCTTACTTTAATTGATCTTCTATAATAGGGTAAAGCTAATTAAAATTTGTCTTTAGACTGCTTTCCCCAACGTTCCAATAGAAGCATGTGTTATAACACATGCAGGAAAAAATGGTAATGGGTGGTGGAATTCGGATAACCTTGTGGATCAAGTAGTAAACCACACAATTCTAATATTTGAAGCCCGGTTTCCAGGTGCAAAGGTACTTTTTGCATTTAATAATGCTACTAGCCATGCTGCATATGCTGAAGATGTCCTTTTAACACAAAAAATAAATTTATCACCAGGTGGCAAGCAACCGAAAATGAGATTCATATAAACTAGTAGATTTTCATTTTATTAATATTAACTTTAATACAAATGTTTAGAAGCACTACATATGGAAATAATATTTGTTAAGATATGTGTTTTTTCAATGATAAACCAAAAGGGATAGAGATAGTTTTAAGGGAAAGAGGATTATGGCGTAATGGGATGAAATTGAAGTGTAAGGGTCAATATAAGAAAGAAAAAATTGATTGTTGTGCCAGAATGATAATGGCAAATCAACCAGATTTCAAAGCACAACAAGGGATGCTTGAAGAGGCAATTGTTGCTGCAGGTCATGAAGTTATATTTTACCTGAAGTTTTACTGTGAGCTAAATTATATTGAAAACTTTTGGGGATCAGCAAAATGGTATTCGCGAAATTACTGTGATTATATATGGAAAGGCTTGAAAAGAACTGTACCACAAGCTCTTGCATCAATATCACTTAGTGAAATTAGATAGTATTTTCAAAAAGCTTTTAGGTATATGGATGTGTATCGTAAAGGTCTAACAGGAAAGACTGCTAAATATGCTGTAAAGAAGTATCGATTATATTGTCATATTCCAGATTCAATTTTACTTGAGATTAATGTGATAGAAGACTAACATATTGTTGTGGGCAAAAAGGTGATTATAGAAATGCGATACATGTTATATTATGTAATTAGTGTTGTTGTGAAAAAAACGATGGAAAATTAGTGTTAGAGAATTTAAAGGTGTGAATTTCTAGAATAGCGTAGAATGAGTAATCAGATGTAAACATGTAAACAATAGGTGCATATATAAATACATGTGCAGTTCAGTAGCATGTAGGGAGATTTTTGGAGAATAAGAGTTAGTTAAGAACACACTAGCATTTAGTCAATAAAGTTAAGTTTGTAAATAAACTCTTATCTTGTATTTAGTGTACCAAAGCAGACTTGTAACTTGGGCTACATAACTACAAGAGAGAACCAACGGTTGCCTAAGGGAATTAGCATAGGAAAGGTTCTAGATTGGTCAATAGAGAAGTTAAAGTGAGAAAACAACCAAATCAGAAACATGCCTCAAGAGTTAGAAACTTACTTTATTGTGAACCAGAAACATTGACTAGTAGCGCAAACTGGACGAATAGCTTGTGACAATATATATTTCTTCTAATTGTTTTATTTTGCAAAAAACAAAAATCATTTTAATCATGACATTTTAAAAATATATCAAAAATGATATTATAATTGATCAATGTTATCGCTATATAACATACTGTTGTGGGAACAATCGGGGTAGGAACACGATATTGTGACGCGTCATGTAACAATAAGTATTGGTGATGGTGGAATGATGTAATAATTGGTAATAGCGGGTACTAGGTAAACATGCGTCAGGAAGGCATATAAATAGGTAGTTTATGTAGTTTGGAAGGTGAGAGTTCGAATTTCACGATTTTGGAGTTTCGTTTTCAGAACACTTCTTTGTTTTTGCACACTCACATTTTAATAAAATAAATGCTATCTCGCTTTGCACAATAAACAAGATACATTCTTTAAAGTGTACACGAAGTCC